CGTAATTAAACGAGCGTTTAATCGCGGTAGTGCATTTCTGAGAGCTATGGTTTGTCTCTTGAGACTATTGCGAATAACCATAATGACGTTAGGCACGACGCGATGAAGAAGTACATACGTGCGTTATTCCTGCTGTGCGTTATATCACTTCTGTCACGTTAGTATATTTTTAGAATTTTGATGTCATTAGAGTTTGGTTGTTTCTTTAAAACGTTCTGAAATTTTTAACATTAAAAAAATTCTGCTATAATTAAATATGCAAAGATACGAAGTATCAGTATTTGACACTTTGCGCTATATTACGTTTTTATTATATAAAAGATAATGAATTTTTTGTCTTAATTAGAATAGATTTGAGTCATAAAAAATGTTGAATTTTTAAAAGAAATATTTAATTCAAGTTAATTAATGTTAAATTAAAATTAATTTTTATAATATATTACTGTATTATGAATACTCTTTAATTTATTTTTAGTTGTGTGTTGTTTTGCTGTCACGTAATGGGCGTATGTCTGTGTATGATATATTTAAAGTGGAATTTATTATGGATATAGCAATCAGATCAATATTTTATTGAAGAAGCTTGTAAGGGAGATCACGCGATCAGAGTTACGTCGTAAACTTACTTTCGAATGAGTCTCGCTTTAATTTGAGTCGTACATCATACGCGGATGATGAATGTAACATGTAACCCATTATCATATCTTATGCATATATGAATACTTATTTATTATTCTTAATAAAGACCTAAATTTTTCTTCGATAAATGTAACCGTAACAATAACTCTCATGACAATCATCAAGAATTAATTATATAATTAATTTGAAAAAACAAGATACATTTTTTTATTTTATCAACTAATATTCATTTACATACAAATTGTTAGATATGTTATATTGATATGAGCAAAATGTAAATTTACTGGGAAATTTACTTAATCCGTTATCATTGCATTATTAATATTACTATAATTTTTAATGTCGAAGTGAATTCGTTGATGAAACAATTTTGTTCGCATAGATTTTTTGCAATAGAAAGCGGATGACGTGCGAAAAAGCGTAGCTGTCCTCAACACTCAAGTCACATGTACAATAATACATATTTCCGTGATGCAATCAGATGCGGATTTGTCGAGTGTCAAAAACGATTTGAGATGAGCTACAAAGAATTATTTTATAGTTGAAATTAATTATAAAAAAATTAATTACTTCATATTCATTTAAGATTTTTACAGTCTATCAACAGTTATATGTACAGGTTTACATGAAATCGTTAAAATATATATTCCAATGTCAATATACATAGATATAAATGAGAGCAATTTATAAGAAAAAATAAAAATAATTTTTGACATTATAATTCAATACATTGTAGTGCCGCATCGGTAGTTTTATATATCGAAAAAAAAATTTACTGCGCGAGTAGGTATTAGTCATAAGAACCGTTCAATAGGAAATTTTGAGAGTTAGACTTATCGATAGCATATTAGATTAGGTTTTTGATAATTTTGACTAAAAGTATCAGATTATTCCAAATTCCGCTCTTCTGATAAATGCAAATTATCACGCAATAAACTTTCTCGCGTAATTCATTCTCAAGTGCAAAAATAAACCACAGCTTCTTAGGTAACGGCGTAAATCAGGCTATTTAATTTGCTCCTCGTTTCTTGCAGTCGATTCTTGTCAACCTATTCAAAAAATTGCCAGTCATGAACGACTGTAAGAATTGTTTTATTTTCACTGAACAACGATACATTGGCGCGGTTCAAATTTTGACAAATGCGCACTGTTTGCACGCTTTCTTAGCGTGATGCATTTTTTCTTCTCGGACACGTATTGAAATCATTTCCGTTTCACTAATATATGAGCTCAGTCGATCGTAAATTAGGTTGCGATTTCTCGAGTAATTTTAGAGGCACAATACTCTACTAAGGGAACGTTATTTTAATATTGTTTTTAATAGGGAATAAATCTGTATTAGCCACAACAAAAATTCATAAACGACAGTTGTTAACATACAAGATACAGTACGAAAATGTTATTTGTTTTGTTATTTGCTATCATAGATCATAAATTGAATTTAAAGAATTGTCATTTATCTAAAATTATAAAAGTAAAAAATTGCGCATGTGTGCAGCGTGATATTTACAAGGTAAATGGATATGTTTACAGTTGGAACAAATTACATATTTCGGTTTGTGCAAGATTTAGGAGTTAGAAATTTCATCGGTGAATACTCGTTTCGCCATCACATTTGACTTACATGTCGTTGCTCAAATAAAGATCGCTGAACGCGATATTCACCATTACAGGATGTGCGAATGTTATACGCACTTTGATATAATATACTTATCGTTTCGTAATAACTAATGCTATTGCATTTCGGAAGCAGGAATTATTTCGTTTTCCATATATCGGCTTTCTATAATGGGGTATCGAACCGTTAGTGGCATTTAATTCCCCCGCGATTATTACACAATTTCAAGTGCGAAAGAAATTTTATAGTCATCGGTTGACCGAGCTAGACCAGTGAAAGGAACTTTTCTTCCGTATAAATTATTACGAATGGCGTCTCGTTTACCGAAATATCCCGGATAATCAGTGCGGAAATACAAGTAACCGTAAAGCAGGAGCTTAATTTCAATTATAAAATATATGACGATAGTCACTTATTTTATCTTTATGATCGAGATAGGAATGTCTTTCGTATAATCGACGTGAACGTATACCCCCCCCCCAACGCAGAAATCTAGATTCAAAATTTTCTAGTTTTGTTATTTTGTTAACGAAAGTAAATCGCTTGCAACAGTTATATGCGATACTTACGAGCTATAAGCTATGTAACGTTCAGCGTACTGCACTTCAAATTTATTACGTCCGGGATAAAGGAAAAAGTATGATATTATGTTCAATGTAACGTTTATATCATGATGATTAACTCTCATCAATATAAAAATGCAATTTGTAAAAGAAATATATTTTTTTTACCACTAATCCTTGAATTTCTAGATTAGGAAATATCCCATTTATTTTATGAATAGATTTCGTTAGTTCTTAAACAACTCAATCTTTAATTTCGATTTTAGAAAGCTAAAAATGAAATAAAGATATTTTTAATTTATTAAAATTATGCTTATGATAAATGATGCGATATATACATATTAGGATTTAAAGTGAAGATTAGAACATGTTAGAATTGTATAATGGATTTGAAACGGTTCTTAAAATTACCTTATTAATGCTTTAATCTATCACGCGTGAGATCGCGTGTAATACGCATTATATGAAGTCAAGAGATTATCTTTTCCATATTATCATATTATATTTTTATAGCATCGACTTTATTATGTAGTGAAATCGTATTACAATAATGCTCGAGTTGACTGTAAGAAGAAATGGAAGGTCAATAGATTGGATCGTCGGGACACAAAGTTACGACACTTCTATAGTTTCAGTGACTCTGACAAATAATTGTGCTCTCAGCGAAATTCATGTTCTCTGATGTATAATAAATGGGTCGGCCATTTTCACGCGAAGCAGATTAGTCTACGACGACGTGAGAATCGCGATATAATTCCGTGACTGAACATTTCAGATACCCGATTTGGTAATGTTTCTTACAGCATGATTGCATACGCTGCGACGTTTATTGCTGTACTTATTATTACGTGGCTCATTTTCAGAACGGAAATGCCACCGGTCGGACAGCTAGTGATCGGTGTGAACATTTGTTTTAGTCGTGTGAGTTTAGTCTATTTTTATTTTATTCGTCATTACGATTTGTTTCGTATAACGTGCGAATCTTACTATTAAAAAAATGAAAAAGATTTTATTAAAATTAATAACAATTTTTTATAATACATTTGCTAGTAATTAAAATAATACATGATTATTTATAATGAGAATCGTTTTTTTCTAAAAGGGAAAGAGCAATTGTTGTAGAATAATCTATATATTTTATTTAACAAATTTTGTATTCGTGCAGTTGCACGCAAGTATAAAAATGGAATGAATATAAATATATAAATATATGATTACAAAATCTCTTAAAGATCTCTATCTCAAATCGCTTGTCTAAAATTATAACACTCTTCTTTGATAAACATTCTTCATAAAACTAAATACAAAGTGCTTTTTCAACCTTTATTTTAAAAATTAAAATATTTTCTAATATGATTTATTAATTCTGTATAATTTCTCTACATATCAGTCTCTATCAGTATCAGTAAATGTTATATATGTGTGATAACGTTCGGAAGGGAGTATAGCCCCGGACATTATTGAAATTCAAGTATACCGCGTATCTATGGTCATTAAACATTCTGCATGTGTCGAGATACGCAGAAGGGCATATTATAATGTTTAAACAATGGCCATAGATACGCGGTATACTTGAATTTCAATAATGTCCGCGGCTACCCCCCGTTCTCCTATAATGGTATCGGCATTTGTCTCATTAATAGTTTATCTTTTTCGTTGAATATATTATAGAATAAAAGAAGATAAAGGAATATTAATAGGAAATTTTGAATTGTAGAAAAAATATATTTATTTTCCAACGCACTCATATATTATATATGTATATATGTGCATATATGATGTGGAAAACAGTCTTTATTGCAGATAATGACAACATTTTCACACATTAAATTGACTAAAAGTTTTATTTTTTAAGTTATTAAATTAACTTTTTAAGATTACTAAATTATTAACGTTAATAAGACTTACTATTAAGAATCATCTTGAATCTGATTATTGAATCACATATAGCGTTGCAGAAGTAATATTTTAAAGACGACGAAAGAAAGTTACAATTTAATTAATTACAACTGAAACAATCTCGCATTCATTAGGATGTTATAGAATCTGTTATAATGATGCAATGTCAAGACTTATACGAAGAAAGTAGCGCCTTACACACTTCAACGCGATGCGCTACTTTGCGCACCGGGAAAATATCGCTCAGGCGCAAGGCACGTATAAAAAGAAAATACACAATATTTACGCAGCATACTTAATAATTTAATAACTTATTACATATGACTAATGTTACATATTGAACCTCTCCGTACTTTCACGTGTAAAATCTCGAAACAATATCTAATGACATTCGTAGAGTAGGAAATTATAAACTTTCTTCGCGACGTAATCAACTAGAGATAATTGCGTTGGGCTTTGCGCGCGTACTCATTTCGCCGTGATGAAAAAATTTACATCGCTACTTTACTTCGCACAAACGTTGATTTACTCGAGGCACTCCGAGATTTTCATTGCTCCTGATGTCGATTAAAAACGGAAACGTTGTGATCTTCACTTTGCATGATGAAAGTCATCGAACGTCAGCCAACGATACCACGGATGATCGTAAACGTCCAATTTTCCTCGGTAGTTTAGTGGTTTGCAAAAGCGCCTGAATGATTAAGAAGGAACGCTCTCTCTTTCTCTCTCTCTGACGGGCGTTGCCAATTGCGCGGCTAACAGCCAGCCACCGAGTGCCCATCTTCATTATCAGCTCCACTTAGTCATCACCTCCCGTCATGACTTCCATAAACTCTGAAAGTGCGCAAAATGCGGGCGTTAGCGTAATCAGGCGGCGGCGCCTTGCATTTCCCGCGGGCTACAAACTTGGCGAACCACCCAAGGCGAGAAACTTATTGAACGTTCGATCGACTTTGCTATTAGTGCCGGTTACGTTAAGCTTCGCTGACGTTGACGTGCGCGAAACGAATTTACTTGGCTCGGGGCTTCGTAACTTGAGCATATTTTAAATGAACCACTTGGCTTTCGAAGCGTGTCACATATTATCGTATTTTGCAAATTACGCTTGTTAGGTGCAATGTGGAGCATTTCTTAAACACATTATTTTTAATGTCATGCGTTTTTGAACATGTGCCATAGCTTTTAGTGATATTGACACGTTACCTGACACGATTATAACACTGAATCTAGTAAAAGGTTCTTTCTATAATTTAACATTTAATAGTATCTGTTTTAATAAACGCAAGATCTAGCGTTATACTCTATTAAACTTTAATGAATTTTAAAAATATATTTGCTTAAAAATTATTCAAGAATAACTAAATTTTTTAGAAGTTAATTTAAACCATTTTTTCGAGGTTAATAATCAATATCGCGAAATTATAGAAGAGATATGTATATAATAAAAATACCGTCAAAATCGAGCGTTCCTGAACCATCAGCGTCAATCTCTTCGATCATTAGATCAAGTTCTTCCGGTGATAGTTTGTCGTCGAGTTCGTGAAGAATATCGCGAAAGACCTCAGTAGTTATGTAACCATTGCCCTCTTTGTCATACAACCGGAATGCCTCGCGTAATTCTTGCTGCATCGCTTCCTGATCCTCTTCTACTAAGAATCTAGCAGCCAGCGTGCAGAATTCTTCGAACTCGAGTTCTCCGGAACCTGTCAGTACAAGAAATGCATACATGAAGAAACGTTAAGCGTTTAGGGAATGTGATCGATGATGGATAATCAACGGAAGTTTATTTACCATCCTCGTCGACTTCTTTAATAATATCCTGCAGCGTGCTGTCGCTGAGCTCGTAACCCAACATGGTCAATATTGTGCCTACCATGTTGGTGCCGATACTGCCCTTCTTTTCGTGATCGAAGGCATCGAAAGCTTTCTTCAACACTATACAGAGATATTATTTGATATATTCTTCGATTAGTGATAAAACTTTATATTATTTTGAATATTTTCATGATAAAAAGGTTTACTTACGAGCTATCTGGTCCTTATTTAGGTCATCCTGAAATTATAAGAGATAATTAATTGTTGTTTGTGATTATATAAAATATTAATTCACTGAAAATAAAGTCACTAAAAATCAGGTTTTAATAATAAAAATTTTGAATTATGCAAAACATAATTCTCGCGTTTATCGAAAGCATATATGACTTACCATAATGATGGTAAATATACGCGCTGCCGGTGGTACGTTGGCGTCGACGGTTTATCCGGGTATGCACCAGGTTCTGGCTGTGGACTTCTGTTTTAAGTGATCATAACGATGATCTTCTGGCACGTGATTGACCAGATAATTTCTACATCCCAAGTCTAGCGGTTTTCAAATTCATCGAGGACGTTCTCCCCACTCTATTTTCTTAGACACACTTTACCTAATTATACAAAACTTGTGGCAGCACATTTAATTTCGAAAATCATTCACAGCACTACCAGTGATAGATTTGATTTGTTCAACAGCTGTTCCAAATATTCTGACGTTCTTACGTTGACAAAATTAATACGCGTGCGATATATTCGCATTAATTTTGTCCTTCTTGATGCAAAGAATTAATTATGACGTGAACCTTATAACGTCCAGGTACAGGTGTATCAATTATATTAAAGTTTATTTTACATACTTATAATGAAACAGTTTAAATTTATTAATAACTAAAATTAACAGTTTTTATATATTAATTATTACAGATTTATATTAAATTTATTAATCAATTTATGTGATACTTTATAAGAATTATGTTGCCAAATATGTAATGTGGTATTATACATATATACAGAAAAATATACCATATCAATTTCTTGCTACATTAAATTTCTTCTTGAGAGCTCGAGTAATTATACAACAGATATATCCAAATTATTTTTTTTATATTCTTATATAAATGGAATCTTATTTTGACATACTGATAATATACATATATGAGAGACTTATTTTTTTATATAAATAATTTACTACGATATAATATGTATCTATAACGAATCTGAATTCGTCGATTTTAAAGAAATTTTTCTGTATATGTCGTCTAAAACTATATATAGCATTATATCATATTATAATTTAAAAATACACCACAAAAAAATAATTAATTCACTTAATATGTAGTTGTGATAAATTTTTACTCAAGAATGACGAAATCTTTTTCTTAGAATTATGTCGAAACATTTATCGAAACATACAACGATATGAATTTTGCTGGTACTTGCAATTTTACTCGTAATTTTTTATTGAAACGTTTCTTTCAATTTCTCTTTAAACTATGATAGAATTGTCAGGAATCTTCCAACCAGATTATCACAAAGACATTTTATGATTAAAACTTGCGTCGCCATTGCCGAAATCAAGCAGTTTGTCATGAAATTTTGCAATATGTCCGAATGGCAAAATTTACGAGCGATATAATGTGTGTGACTGCTTAGACGCAACAATAGACAGAATTGGCACATCGCCGGAGGATTCATGGGTGATGCTGACCCAAGAGGGTTCTATGCAATAATTGTGCATGTTTTATTCTTAGAGTCCTAATTATAAGCTCATAATGCCCGGTGACTGCTATTATATTTAGGCGATTTTACCGTTCATTCCGGAATACAGTCGCTTGCCATCGCATGCATTGTCGAATTTCTTGGTACACGTGTCTTCGCTACTTTTCCGACACAAGTTTACAATAGGTTACGCTACTATTACGAATCGAGCGTATAATGTCACGATTGATGCGTGTGAAACACGTGCCATCGTTGTTGCCAACACGCGAGCATGTATTTTAAAATGTGACTTTTTGTAGGTACTAATAGTAATTACAAATATATAGATTTTCTACAATATAGTGAGACTGTTATAGGGAGTCGTAGAAACATATAGGTATCTTCGTGCAATTATAGCAATTATATTTAGAAAAATGACAATATCTTATCAATATCCATATCAATATTAGTAATATTTGAACTGCGATTTGATGTTATCAAAATTTAATAGAAATTAAAATCTTATTCTTCTGGTAATTATTAATGAATTTTCTTTCAAAAGTAATAGTAAAACAAAAAAATAATGAGTAATACATTTTATGCATATTGCATATTTTATATTTTTTCGAAGTTTGAAAAATTAGAGAATAATCCGAAATCCTATTAAAGTTTGATTAAAATGAATACATACATCTTTTTTAAAGTTTATTGTTTTATATATATATATATTGTATTTACATAATCGATATTTATTAATTTTATATTTATTAATTTTTTGATATATATACGTTTAAAATTTAATAATATATTTTAAATATTAGGTTGGCCAATAAGTCCGTGCGGTTTTTTACTTATAAATTTTACTTATAAAAAACCGCACGGACTTATTGGCCAATCTATATATATGTTTGTTATGTACATAATTACACACCATTTTAAATAGTAAACTATAATATAAAATTTAATTAAATTAACAACTAATGGGAATTCAGTGTTAAAATTCTAGTAGAGAATAGCAATTTTGCAATCTTGACAAATTAAGAGCTCTATAAATTTCAAGGTATCGATAATTGTCATTATTATACTTGAAATATTATTTCAGAGATGCCAAAATCTTTCTCGAATTCTATTTGATATATTTAACATTTGGCAGTCTATTAAGCAGAATATTAAGATTCAGGATTTATCTTTAATCATCTCTCATCGCAACCTCGCCGTAAAGTAAGTTTTACGACGATTTTTTCTGATATATGATAAACGAACGAACTTATATTCTGCCAGCGTCGATTACAAAAAGATTTCGGCTTCTCTGTTTGTACAGGCACACTCGTTGTTCGATACGTGGGCGATCGACACGGTGTATTTGCGTGGTGCCAAAGTCATAATTTATCCTGTCATGACCTCCATGAATTCTGTAATGTAAACGCTGGGTTAGGTGCGCATAGACGAAGACAAAGTGAATTAACACCTGGTGCACCACGCAAGATCTCTCACCATCGAAATCAACCGTGCCAGATCCGTCAGTGTCCACCTCCTCTATGATCATGTCAAGCTCCTCCGGAGATAATGCGTCGTCCAATTCGTGAAGGATGTCTCTGAACACGTCTGTAGTGATATAACCATTGCCTTCCTTATCGTACAATCGGAATGCCTCTCGTAACTCCTCCTGTATCGCTTCCGTGTCAGTTTCCTCTTCGAGAAAGCGCGACGCTAACTTGCAAAACTCCTCGAATTTTAATTCGCCATTTCCTAAAAATAGAAATTTTGATTGATATCCATTATTAGTCTCTGTTATGTTATAATATATGTATTCTTCGTTAGAGTTGTATCTTTATAAATCTATCATACATTTTAAAAATAATTTTCTCTGAAATTTTTTGACAATAGATGATTATCGCGCATTTCTCTCTGGACAGGTTCTAAATATAATATAAAACTAAATAATTTTTTATTTAAACAAAAACTGTAAAATTTTATTGGAGTAAATGTATTAGAAAATATCATTATCTTATAGAGAGACAGTCGTATATAGTTGAAAAATGCGATTTCTCTTTCGTTCGGTTTTTCTTTTATCGTGAATAATAATATGTATTTACCTTCTGTATCAATTTCCACAATAATTTCTGCGAGCTCTTCTGGTGAGACCTCGTGACCAAGCATACCCAAAATTGTGCTTACCATATTCGTGCTGATACATCCTTTTTTGTCATGATCGAACGCGTCGAATGCCATTTGCAAATCTATTCAGAACAATTGTTCCTCAATTTTTATGTGCCGAACATCTAGATATGTTAATTATAATTTCCAATAATAATTTTTTTTAAATTAAACACATTTAATATATTAATATTAAAAATAATAGTGTTTTAACGCAAGTTAATACTTACGAGATAATTGGTCTTTGCTAAGTTGAACTTCTTCCTATAATCGAACTAATATTATTAATAACGAAATATTTATTCAACGTATAAATGATTAGAAATATATTACAAAATCACGTAAAGCACTGAATGAAGAACTTTTCGCGATTATCACTACATAATTAATTCGGATATTTTGTAGATATTTGCCGTAAATTTACGTAATAATTACCATTGTCGTTAAAGTTCACTTTTCTAAAACTCGAATTAATCACAAAATCGGACAATTAACGCGGATTTTTTTCAGATGCAGCAAACTTACTCCGCCAACGAAAAAGTCTTACTGAGCCGTAGTAAACTAATTAGCAGCGCGATACAATAGAGACACACCCACAATCGGTGTTAATAGATCATCGCCAATCATTCGAACCAAACTCGCTATAAAAAGACTTTTATTTAGGACACCTTCACGGCTGTCTCTTCGCGAAACAATTAACGTGCTGAAGCAATTGAATGAACATACGAGTTCTTTTAATTGGTATCTTTGAAAATTAATGTTACATGACATTATTAATTGTTACAACCACGTGGGCACGTGAATTATATAAAGGTTATAATTTTAAATTCTTTAGTAAAAAAAATTACTGTAACATTGGATATATTGCACAGTTCTTGGTTTTTATATGTACAGTTTGGCACTTCTATAAATCTATTTATTTAAATAGAATCAGATTTTTATTTTATAAAATGTGAAAGTGCTTAATTTTTTTCAAATAGATATAATTAATATTTGTTACTTGACTTGTATTCAGAGATGACATAATCTAGGGAAGAATTCGTAGCATATTTGATGTTATCTTTGTATGACGTAGATGATAGTTATAGCGAGTCGGTTCCCCCGCACAGCGAACTATTCGCGAACATGAAAGCGGTTATACATTGCATCGTATCGTATGTACATACAGCGGTTTGGCATTGCATCCTTTTAGAGGATTGCAGTAGATTGCCGACAGCTCGTACGTGAAAAAATCATCTGGCAACTACCTTTAACCTCGATATATAATACTTACCAGCCAATCAGATAAAGCTTCGACGTTAAATCGAACTACTGATCTAACAAACTAAAAATAATTCTGGGGAATCGCTTCATTACCATAATAAACGACTCATTGCAAATCACTAAATTTAGGATGGTTAAAAGTGCACGCTTTCATCGGTCATCTTGATTTTATCAGTTTCAACATATATGTGTACTTTGTCTGGTAATTTTCACAATAATTTTCTTAGTATTTTTTTTTGTTTTATTTATTTGATTATATAGCTCTATCTTTGACATGAAAGATATCATTTTCTCAGAAATCAAACTAATCAACTTCATTAAAAAGTAGAAATAATTGACGAAATTATGAAAGTTATCATGTATGTGTGTATGCTCTGATATTAAAATTAAGAAATTTAGAAAAAGAAGAATTGATCAGTTTAAGAGAATTATTATACAAAAATATATCGGATACAATAATAACTGTTACAATATTATTACAATAATAATTGTTATAGAAAGCATATATATATACAAACATAGGTGTATCTATTATTTTACAATAACAATAAAATTATAGAAATATTTTAAATCAACATCTTTATATAAACTAAATCTAGGTACATACTTTTAAAGCAAAATTAATATTTTATCAAGTTTCTTATAACATTTTCTTTCAATTCTTTTTAAAATCACACAATATTATTACCGTAAACCTATCACATGCGTTCTTAGAACCTGACATTGACTTTGGGCTGTTAGCCAAATTTAGCTTAGCCCAAAGTGGATCGAGAATTCCGAACATATTCATTAGCTATAACATCATGTAGAATATATGTATAGTGTTTGAAATATAAATATAAATATAAATATATATTGCAAAACAATATTTGAATTTTGTACGGTCAAAAAAATAATTAAACAATTTAATTTAAAATTAAAAAAAAAGATTTTTGAAAAATTTGTAATTTATAAGTTACAAAGAAGTAATGCATATTAAATCGTTAGAATCACAACTTTCGTTCAAGTCTGTTTCTGGTGCATGATACGAATACGGAAACGGCGATAGGGGTAGTGATTCGACTTCCCGATTTATGTTGAAAAGTCTTTTTAACTTTCACGAATTCAGTTGCGATAATATCAGTTCGACATCAGAGATTTAACTCGTATCGTCGCTCTATATACGTCGACGATAAAGTCTTTCAGTTCTTGCGAATTAGATTTTGCGCGGATAGCAACGATGTGATGTATTCGTTTTCCTTTAAGTTTTGCGAGATAGTAGGTATTGCGTCCTGCTTCTCAAACTCAATAGTATATTATATCGAAAGTCCTTTCTACAGCACCAAAGCAAGGGTTCTACCCTTCGCGTTCACGGATCATTTATTTCTTCTCAGCATCGTAGGTTGTCACATCCTGAAAGCGACGCTTACATGTTATACGTCATATTAATATTAGGAAAACTGAACGACAATAATCACATTCTTGTTGCTGCTGATCAGCTATTATAGGATTTAGATTCGAACGACCCAACAATTAAACTTAGACCCAAACAATTTAACGATGAGAATTTTATATTATTTAACGAATAAATTGTGTTAACTCGTTTCTGGCTGCAGGCCCTGCAGTAGAAAGGAATCTCTGATTTTGTTGACGTATCGCATCGATCCTTTTAGACTAGTTACGCTTGATTGTGCATTGTTGGCGAATCAAATTAAGGATACGTCGTTTAAATCCGGCAGAATAACTGAAAACAACATTTTCGATTTCTCTTGTGGAGAAATTCCGTAATCGTATTTCGAGATTGATCGCGGTTATCGAGAATATTTGAATTTATTCGAATAATTCAATTAAATCAGTTGGCTACAAAAAGGCTGAAAATAACACGAATTATCTCTATTGTGCTAGACATTGTAGCGGGCATAGTTGAAATAATTGTTGATGTTATATTGCTATATATCGCGATATCATCATTTGTTCTGTTTGGCACAGCTTTACCGCAAAAAATTGCAAACATGAAGGATTTACCGGTATTTTTTTTGGGCGAGCTACAGATTATTTTCTTACATTCGGTTAATCTCTGATCATATTTTGCACCCATTTGAGCTGCCACTGCAATCGCAGTGCCACAGATATTGCCAGATCGAACTAGAGATGCCACTGAATTATCGAATCAAACAGACCTTCGGTCAAGATGGTGATACTGTTGTAGCTCAACTTGGTCTCTGTTTTCACAGATTCGGAGATTGGCTCGAATGTGTTTCGCGCAAATAGTCATGAGATAGTCATTACATGCAAATCGGATAAATAGAGAGATATTATATTGGATATCATATTGGATACATCAGAGAAAAGATGTGAATTAATATTCGACATTATAGTTATTGTAAAAGACACTAGTTGTATTATACCGCGGGTACTAAAATATCTCTTCCCGTAATATTTCGAAGAACTTCTCTAATACAATATCTTTTAATAAATTTCTCTCAACCATTTTATTTCATCTCCTTGAGATGATATAAATAGGTAGAGAGAACATGCCGATTTGGAAGATAACGAAAAATAATTCTTTTTAAGAATAGATGAAACTTTGCTATCTTATTACATATTGTCAAAGAAAAAGCATTATAGCTTAATTTCATCAGGAAGCAATTAGAAATGATTAATTCGTTGATTTTTCTTTTTTTTTTGTTTCTTGGAAATGCCTCGCGCATTCAACCGGAGGCCGGCCACTCGGGATATGTAGGGCTTACACCCACTAAAACCCCTCTCCCTAAACACCGCACTATGGACTACAGTTACGACACGCGGAAAACACGAGGCACTACTTCACGTGTCACAACAGTCCTCACGCTCGAGGTGACAGAAAACGTAATCCACACATACACTAGACTAACGACAGGTCAAACCAGGGGTGCTTAACTCCCAGGGAAGCGAATCCCTAGCCAGACACATTGCATTTGTGCCCCCATACGACCGCCTCGGAGGCCCCTCATGATAGTAGCCGCGGGCAGCCATATCATCGAGGGGTCTCTTCATTAGCTGAATTCGTTGATTGCTACGTCTGTTTTCAACCAAATTTATATTTCTAAAGTTTGTTATTAGGAAATGACACGATACTTTGAGTATTAAATTTATATAGCAATATGTGAGCCGCATGTAACTAGTGAAAAATAATTACTGGCACATTTGTTCTTATTTTTAATATTTGAATACTGAGGCTATTTTGCATTAGTTTAAAATATAAATCAGTCTTCAATCTAATTTGTTCATTATCCACGAGATAATAAACAATTATATAATCTAATCCACGAGATACTTTCACATTTATATGATTAAAAAGAGATTGTGTGATTTTTTAATTTCTATATGTCTACTGTGAGAAATATTATTTTTTTTATAATTGTTTTGTATATATTTCCATATTTCCGTTCAAAATTTACATATATGTAATATTTATTTATTACTATTTGTATTATCAATTTTTATAATATTGTAAAATGATGATTATATGACGATATTTTGAAAGTATCCTTAATGAAGATCTTTATCACTTCTCCTCGAATTGTTCTGGTATAAAAGAACACATTAATTTGACATGTTTCAAAATAATATTACGATGGCTTCAATGTCCAGTGATTTCCAATAACGGTGATATTCTGGGTCACTTGCTCTGTTATTTCATTGTTGTGATTTAATCTTGACGAAATAAACGGACGAGGAACGAAATAACCGACTACACTGCATAGTAATGCAACCGATAAAAGCTTCCGACATGCGAGGATACTGTATTCAATTATGTTTACTTCAAAACAATACATGATTGGATAATGAACAAATATTGACTGTGCACACGATATTCAAATATTTTTAGATTGACTAATCGACAAGAGAAAATTGAGGAAAATTTAATATAGATGCAATAAAAAATAAGTTTTAAAATTTTCTTTGTGTAATTTTATGTATGTAAAAAATATTAATTTGCTAAAAAATTAAATATTTTATTAGCAATTATGTTTCAATATTTATTACAATACGCTTTGCTGCGTTTTTAATTTAAATTCTCTCTCTAAATTTACATAATTTTAATTAAAGTATTTAAAGCAATATTAAAAATCAGGAAATCACAGATCATCTCTTTGATATTATTGCTTGTGCACCAAATACTATTACTACGTGATGCTGTTCGATCGATATATCCTAGAATATTCTGGCATCAAATCTAGAACCTGTCTGTGTTTGTGACATTGATTAATGTTATCTCATGCGGCACTTGTCGATACATATCTTGTATTGATTACCGACGTTACTAAAGTGGAACTTTGATAAATTATCTCGTACTTGTATTCCAATTAAATCACATAATACACATTGGATATAAAAATATCTATATTTTAACTCGATATATTAAAAAATATCTATGTTTTAATTCTGTATATTAAAATATCTGTATTTTTGCAATCTGTTAAAAGAAATTTAATGAGTGAAGATAAAATGAAGTAGGAGTAACAATAAATAGTGTTTCTGCTTATATCATTTTTATTCATTTGAAAGTTTCACATATACACGTTAATCGTTAACGACATAATAAACAATGACATATAGACATTATAGAATTTGAGTAGCGAGTCGCGAGTCGATAAGGGAAAAAATGTCTCATAATACATACATATCACGTAATAGTTATCATATAATGACCATATATATTTAACATTATGTATAGACATATACAGACGAAGTTCGTGTATGTGTGTGTCACATAGTAACCATATATATAACATCGATATAACATTAGGCATGGTTTAATCTCGTGTACGTGTGTTCGTTTAGATATTGCGTGTACAAGTATACGTATCTAAGAGCATTTATGCGGAAAGATGTAGACGCGTGTGTACATTGATTCAAGAACTAATCTTTCTTTATATATCTAATTCCACACGAACTTTATTCTTATGCACGTAAGAATTACGTCTTTTATCTATATAATCTATATAGAAGACAGTGAAGAAAGGGAGATGAGAAAGGCTCGTAAAAGTATGTAAGACTAACGTATTATGTTTCGACCATGTAGGTGGCGTGTTTATAATAACGTGTTTATTCCGTGTACTCGTGTGTATAGTGATGGTATGTGTTAACACAGATACGAGGTTTCTGGGGTCGTGCGAAGAAGCGACGTGTAAGCGAGCACCGAGATTACAAAGATAAATCCTTCGTTCGATAGTTAAGCTCCGTTTATCGTCCTTACGCGCGGGTGGGACTGTCGATAATTTCGTTAACACGTCCCGCTAACGCACACACATGCGTATATAATATATATGTATTTATATATATTTTATATATAGGTATCATCGTGTCTGCACACATACGCGTTTACGCGTCTTCAGGGTATCGCGCGCTATTAAATGAAGTAAGTATGGCGAGCCGGTCGTGCGCCCGTCGGGCGTGCCGGTAACGATCCGACCACATTGTAAGACGCTGTACAAAAATATCCGCTTATAATAATTAGTAATAATAAATCGGCGCGCCCGACAAGTCTAGCGCCGGCTCCCAGCGATATGTCTCGACATGGTTCTGCGGGCTCGACGTCCGGCGATCTGTAATCCTTTCAGCCGCTGATAAGTGTTCTTCGCTGTGCAATGCCCATGAAATGTTAGAACTCTGAAAACGATTCCTCCCCCCTCTCGATTTTATTCAATTATTATTCAAGTAGAAGTATAGAAGATGTAGACAATTCTATATGCATTGTACGCGTACAGTACCTTTTCATGTATAGTAATCAGAGCATTTTAACAGCGTATATCGTTATAGTATTCAGCAGAAAAGATTAGAGTCGCACAAACTCCCGTTTTCGCTTTTGTCTCTAAAACTTGTCTAAAGATATGTCCTAACATCCGAGCCGGAAGTTCTTCAATAAAGCAATCTTTTGCGTGTATGAGCAAATAATCAATTTGAATTAAACTCTTGCCATGACGATGTCTTTGTTCTATTTCAGTTTAGTAGCAAAAAAAATAGACTTTAGAAATAGGAAAAATATGTAGAGTAAAGAGATAAAAAGCTTCAAGTAACTTAAAATATTGGAGAATGATTGAAATACAAAATGCTTAAAAGGCGATTTAAAAGAGCTCTTTTTATTACATTATTTCTCAACTGCAATTTGTTCTATAATAGCAAAGTATATTTTTTAAACTTCTGACTCAGGTAATTATGCTATTTCACTAGTTTTACTTTCATCTCTATCAACTTTTTTTTATAACTCATTACCGTTCACACACTGCCGTTTTCTCCTTAATAATCATAATTGTATATAGATTTTAAGGTAATCGCAAATATGCTCGTGATTTATTCGCATGTAATTATGAAAAGAAGAAAATTTAAAAGGTCGTGCATTAGATATGCCTCGTACGAATCCTAAGCTAAATGTAGGGCCTGCAGAGGATCGCATTCGGCGTATCATTAATTTTTATTATCTAACGTATTAAGATTTAATGTAGCAATCACGAGTACCTTTTATTCAGATCTTAATCAAAATAAAAATTTTATAACTGACAATAAAACAAAACAAAATACGAGTAGAAAGGTAGACTTTGGGGATTTAAGTGGAAACCAATTTTACAACGCCAGTATGTGCCCAGCAGTTTTATACTATTATCAATATAACTTCTTAGAAAAAACATTTAGTGCATATATGTATATATAAGAGATATAGGTATATAATATATATCTTTTATAATCGTAAAATAATGCACAATAATATATATATTATATGTAACGTACATATATATGTATATTATATATATGTATATGTTAACAAATAAATTCTCTTAAATCTCGTACTTCACGATATGTATACGATCTTTAGTCGTTATAGCTTCGTCAAGCCTTAAATCGACTTAGTTAATCAATTTATCTTACAAGTAGATTTGGGCGTATAAATGATATGTGTATGTGTGTATGTGATATCGTCGCGCGTCTCTGCCTACGTATTCGAAAGGGAAGATCTTAGCTCTGCTATTGCTCGTCAGATTTTAACATTTATTTTTAAATTAGGTAAAATCTTACAGTTATACAATACAAATCCCCTGTTTCTATTTCGAGTTAAAAAATTAAAGTAAAATATCTCAATGTTTTCATTTTTTATATAAATTATTTTGTTTACGTAAATTTTTCTTACTAGTTTGTTGAAGTAATGGACTCACTTAATTAGAAAAATGATTTTAATATTTTATATATGAAAAATATTGGTGACGAAACTGTTGTAGTTGTGCAAGGTTACGTATTATTTTTCATACTGAACCGAAATGTGGAAAAACCAAAGAATTCAGATGTTCTCTGAAATGTTAGCTTCAAAATTCACTTTCGAAAAGAGTTCGGCTTGACACGCCATATAACGCATATCGGTGACCTTAACATCCCGCTATACGATGTTTGCACTTTATAATAATGCCTTAGGCTTAATTCTATCTTATTTTCATACGTATCGAATAGCAAAACACATGTTACTTTCTGCGTTAGCACTGTGATCAGCACTACGTCCTGTGAACTACATCCCTCGTATCAATCGGTCTCCCGCACGATGTCTGCGCTAAGAAACGCGTTCGTCGCTGAATATATTCGCTTCGAACGTTTTTCGAAGCGAAACACGCCAAGTGTATTCTCATATGCCACGATCTTCCGTATATAAGCGGAAATTATTGTTAACGGACGGGAAATATTTTAAACACAACTGACAGATATTATGCTTTAACTATTTGTATCTCGTGTCTCGTGATCGTCGCGAACACGTGCATCGCATACGTTTCCTTCTGTAAGATGATGCAATTTTAGTGCACACGTGAACTGTCGCGGCGGCGAAGTAACCGAGTCGTAAAGCGAGCGCAACGAGGCGTTTGAATAACCGCGTTTGTGCTCTACCGGCTTTGACAAGTGTCGGTTTCCTGTTGAGAGTATCGTTGGGAGTATTACGTGTCATCAGCACAGTCGTTATCTCATTTCGCGCGGTCGGGTCTTTGCGAATCGAGTTAAGTATGGGGGCGATCTCAAGATGTTAGCGACTACCGCGCGGGGACATTCTAGCAGAAAACTTGATAAAAGATAAAGTCCACGAGCGTTATTTTCTTTTAATTCTCGATTTTAATTGATCCATTTTATTCCTTGATCAATGTGTCTTAATTAATAAAAATTAATAAAAATTATTCATATTATAACGAATTTAAGCAAGAAGATCGAATGACCTACTTTCTGACAATTTATTTCTTATCCATTTTATTCCTCGGTCAATGTGTCTTAATTAATAAAAATTATTTACGTTATAACGAATTTAAGCAAGCATGTCTCGAATGACCTACTTTCTGACAATTTGTTTCTGATGAACATAAAATGTTATAACCGTCCGGATAATTGCTGTAAATTTCTAAGCTGAAAAAGGTTCTGAATAATTAACAAAGACTAATACCCAATGACGTCGAAATCTTGGAAGATCGTGGTGTACGGAAAATACCAGCGTGCGGAGGATGTCGACTATTCGCAGCACTGTGTTCAACAGGAACGCATTGATATGTATATAACGAGTGGCCCGGAATCTGACTTCCGGTCACTCAAATCCGCTAGTGAGTATACTACGCCTCGCGCCGCGAGCTTAACGGATAACCACGAAATAATTGGCAACGATGCTGATATGTAACGTTCCGGTGAAGAAAACTCGTGCGCTCCTCGCGAGCGAGAATTCTACGGTCCACTGATCGATCGATGTGATCGACGTTTGTTCCTAGCAATCGCTCAGATCCTATACTATCGAACTACATAACCGAGTGTGATACCTTGTTATCCAATAAGAATTAAAGATATGTACTTTATTAATCTTTATTTGGTGAAAGTCTTTTCGACGAATTATCATAAGCAACATGAGGTTTGCAAGTCCATTGCTTGCTATAGTTGCCATATGACTGTTTGCAATTCGATCGTAAAGCATCTGAGGGTTCTATAAATAACAATGACATTATTAGAAATAAATCCGTCGCATAGCAAATGTATCTCCTACACACTGCTCGTTATATTAATATCTAGCGGTCCTGCAATGTCTGGTGATTATTTATCATTTCGACATGCGGGAATTGAAGGGATTGCTCGTGATACTCTTACTGCGATCTGACTTACCGCAACGATTAACTTTTTAACACGATCATTGTACTTTCGAATTGTATTTCACGGGCTTGATCAAACGCGGCGAATAAATTGGACTTATAGCTGAACATGAATTTATCACGAGAATTGGAGTCATATTACGGTATCAAGGAATTTAGAAATGACACTGAAAAGATGGATATCGATTCGATTATAATCCAAATATTTCGGCAAATTTTCTTGCAAGCAATAAATAGATTGTCGTGCTGATCGAACCGAGTGCTCGACAAGGACCATTCCGGTGACTGGACTGGAAAAGAAAATAACGCGGAAACGCCCGGAGAATATCCGGAAAAATTTAAAGTATTCAATTTTCTTAAAAGATCGATTGTCGCGGTTACCAAACGTTATATGATTGTCCACGCGGGATCGCATCGCATGAACGCGTGTCTGCACAGAAAAGCAATCGTCACTATACGCATAATATACCTCTCCGCACACGAAACAGACATATGTCCTCGCGTGCCTCCTGGGAAATAAAAAAAGCAGCTTTTCAAAGGGCAAAGGAATCAATCATTCCTACCCTCCGCTTCGATCGTAGCAATCCGCTCGAATAGTAATGCTAGATGCTTCTTTTGTCAGCCAGTGTTCAAATTTTGTTGTGACAAACGGACATCGTGATAATGCACCGACTTTTCGTGTCGTAACTCCCTTGCGCCATTTTCATAACAAGCCGCATCTATCTCACGGATGTGTTAAATTATTACGCGGTAGTACATGATAAAAGCGTTTCAATTTCTGCAAAAGGATGGCTATCATGGAATCGTGACGCGTCTCCGCTGTCGCGTCACGATTACCTCGAAAAGCAAGGAACCCTTATTCTTTATAGAACTGAATGACGAAATCGAAAATTTATAATAAATAGCAATTATGAGTTACTATAATAACAGCTTGATGAAAACGACACATATGATTATTAATCGTTCCTTCGACACTGAAACGAAAAGTCGACCGTCTGTCATCACGATGCCGCGCATCTTTGCGGGATTACACTAGAACAGCAGTAAGAACAATCAACGGTAATGTCACGTCGACGTACATTCTACACCCAGTAGCTGACGAGAATTTCCCGACGTTCTTGCCCGTGCAGCCCATCCTGTCGAGCGGGATATTCTGCACGGAATATTCACGATGTTCCGTAGGCATCGTACAGACTGTCCGCTTCTTTGACATCATCTCGTCGTCCTTGTCGCGCAAACTTCCAAGCCACGCCGCGTACCATCGTAGCTCGCAGTCGCAAATCAAAGGGTTATCTGCGCGAGAGAGAAAAACGGAGCGGAAGAGAGACGAAATTAATAAAATCGCACGAAATGAATTGAGCTTGCTTTCTATTGAAGTTTGCCTTTGTTAAAAGTATAGCTTTGACGAGCGTGATGCTATTTAACTCGGTGATTACTTTAAATTTTCAATAATATTTACATGCAGTAAGAAAGATATTAATGACTTGTGAAATATATTTCATTTGTTTAAATTAAGTACTAGAGACTTAATGGTATAGATTCAAACAAAAGGAGTTAATAAAAGCTTCGGAATTATTATATATTTGACTGAGAGAAAAGCAACGTTAGTGTTAAATGTTAAATAAAAGGAAAATGATATATGTTACCTGTCATATCGATGTGACGGAGAGTATCAACGATGTTCTCCGTCACTTCTTCTGGGATATGTGTGAGTTTGTTGTTCTGCAAACTTAGAGTTTCCAACGAATTAAGATTTTCGAATACCAGAGGCGGAAGTGTTTTGATCCTGAAAAGATTATGTAATAATTGAAATGCCCTTTAACTTAAATTTCTAAGTTGTATATGTGTGAAAGAAAGAGATATTACATGTTTTTTTGTAGATTGAGGAAAGTAATGGAATCTCCGTAGCCCGTGAAAGTATCCTCCAGAATGACGGTAATATTATTTGATCGTAAATCGAGGTGACGTAAGCGATGCAAACGTCGGAGAGCGTCACTCGGTACCGAATGCAAATTATTATCACCAAGACGTAGATATTGCAGATTTTCTAAAATAAAAGATTGAAAATTACATATTAAAAAAACGTATTAAATATATGGTCAAGAGTAAAAATAACGCCAATAATTTCAAAATTCTCTTATTATAAATTTCCATGGTTATTAACTTCTTTGTAAAGGAGTAAATTGATTTTCTCGTATGATGATATGAGTAACGTAATTGAAATAGTCGTACAAGGATACGAAATATGTATATTAGAAAAAGTGGTAGGAATCTCAGAATCTGGCTTGCAGTAGATGGCGTCGTTACGTGAAGAGCATTAATAATAGCTTCAAGAGTTACAACACGCTCAAACGAACTTTTTTAGATGAATTGTAGCTAGTTATAATTAAATCAAGCTGCTCGTAGTAATGAATAAACTCTCGATCGGCAAGAATTTACGCAAGCATGAATCAAATATTTTGTTCGCGAAAGCTTTAATTGGATCCTTCAACATTGATAGAAATAATACATGATTGAAAAGTTCTAAATGGATGGGCTTCTAATAACCAATTTTAATTAAATATTGGACAATGAGTAAAAAATATTTAAGAGATATTTAATAATTATTTTGTATAAGGAAAGAACATATTTTGTGTTATAATATAATACTTTATTAATATATTAGTACTAGCTTGATACCGGCCGTGCTTCGCGTTATGGTGTGGTAACTATTTTAAATAAAAAATCAAGTCGATATATCTCATCGAGCCTAAGAGATATTGAGAAATCCGTGAGAACACATTTTACCACTTTTTATTTCGTTAACGATCGAATTTCTAAAAATCCCTTCTTAATGGGTGCTTACGTTATGGAAGGAATATACTCCCCGAATTTCATGTTTCTAGGTTTAGGGGTTTGGGCTGAGCGTTGATGAGTCAGTCAGTCAGTCAGTCAGTTATTCAGGACATTTGTTTTTATTATATATAAATAAATGTGAAAGCAAAATATATTCTTACAATAGGGACGCTTTGCAATTTAATCTCATTTTGCATTTGCTCTTTGCTGTATGAAATTATTCTAAACAAGATAGAATGCGAAGGTTTTCTTATCCACTATATTCAGATTTCATTAATATTTGTTTATAACGGCGTTTGTGTCTGGTTTAATTATTTATTTCATTGATTGGAAAGCTAACCGTGTTGTGTTGCTCGACTGAACTGTCGATGCTGTACGTTCAGGCACCCAATGCTTTGTCGAAATATTATCTTGATAGTCGAGCGACGAGATGAAAGGTAGTTTGTAAAGTGTCGTTCGCTCGTTTATATCCACGTTCCCAAAGGGAACTGATTGTATCGCCGGCAAGCAGCCGTAACGTGCGGTAGATTTAAATGCTAAGCAGTTGTACCGTTTGCAACGATAAATAAAGTACAACGTGATCTGCAGAGACCGTAGAAATTTTATGGTAAACTGAACACGAGACCGCACACAAATTCTACGGCTACGCCGAAATCGGGAATCAAAACGATTTTCTGGTACAAGTTAAACTACTGAGAATACATAGAAGTATAAACAAATATATGTACTAGTTTAAACTGTGTATATTTGTTTATACTTCTATGTATTCGCAATAGTTTGAATTTGTACCGGTAAATCGTTTTGATATATGGTCGTCGAAATCATACAACTGCAGTATGATTAATATAAAAAAGTGGAACGACACACAAGCCTTAATTATCCCTTCGCACATTATTAATAAAAAAATTTTGTATAACAATTTGTTATACATATTAATCTGTTAGATTTTAAAATGCTTTATAAAAAAAAATCAGTGGATGAAGAATGATATTAATATCAAAGGTACTATAATCTAAACATTTTAAGTACGTAAGTGCTATGTTCGTGTATCCTTATAGTTAACAAGTTAAACACAGTTATATTAAATTGTAACTATATACACTTACCCTCAAGACCGATGAACGCATTGGCATCCACGTGGGTAATCAGATTTCCGTCGAGCTCCAAAGAGTTTAATTGCGTCAAGTGGGAGAATACACGCGCCGGGACCTCACGAAGGTGATTGTGCGCCAATCCTAATGAATCGAGCGCTTTTAATCCTGAAAGGATAAAACGTTTTATCGATGAGCCCATTTCATTTAATTGTATGAAATGCTCGTTACACGTTTATTTTATAAAAGCGCTTTATTTATATGCAGATTGAATATATATATATATATATATATATATACGTAGCACACACATTAAAAAAGACATTGGTATAATTAAAATTACAATTGTTCTGCAAAATGGTTCAGCAAAAACTGAAATGTTAAAAAAGACACGTCTTATGAAATAGAATAGATTAGATATTGATTTTACCTTCAAAATCTCCTTCTGATATGCTAGATATGCGATTCTCTTGCAGTTCTAGTTTCTTTAACAATTCTAACGAATTTAAAGCTTGAGTTGGAATTCTCGTGAGTTCGTTTCCGCCTAAATTAAGTCTTTTGAGTCTCCGGCTAAAAACGCGAGATTTAAAATTATTAAAATTAGGCTAAAATATTAGGACTTATTTTTTATTCGAAGCTTCTTATAACAATGTATAACTTTAATAGAATCACAAATTTAGGAATTAAATTAGCTATTGGCATGCAAATACATCTTAATTTAAGTCTCTTTTGCAATTTTGGGTAAAAGAGCTTTTTGATTTGATTTTTATTGACTTGGAACTTATAAAATCAGTAAAGAGCAACTTACTTATCGAGTCCTTTGAATGCATCTGCTTCTATACTGGAGATCTTGTTCTCATAAAGGGTGAGGATTTCGAGTGTGTCGAGACCTTCGAAAGCTTTACCGTGGATGGCTGCGATTTTGTTACGGTTTAAATTCAAAATCAGGAGATGGTGAAGGTCTCGCAACGCGATAGACGGGACGCTACTCAGCGAATTTTGGGAGAGATCCAGCTGTGTCAATCCAGTTCCTGTAATGAAGTGTATTATTTGACTCTCTGTTTGCATTCGCGAGATCGCTTATATAAACCTTGTAATTTGACCAATGCTATTTTCGGGAATTTCTCAAATTTAATACAATAATTTTACATATTTATTTCATAAAAATTACTTAATTAATTTAATAATACGTATCTAATAAAACGTAGCGTATAAATTTGGAATTCACTATTCATAGTTATGTTTGAATAGAAGGCAAATTTTAAACGTGATACCGTCTTGACTACTATTGAAAAAAATGCGATTATATCAAAATTGTCTTAAAGTTAGCTAAACTTATGATGTTTTATTTAATTACAAAACAGTGATTTCCTATGCATGTTATATATGTATATATTAAAAAATTTTGAAATTACGTACGTATATTTACATATATATATTCACAAGAATGTAAATATTATTTATAAATCTGTTGAAATTATCTTGCATTTTGCGGAAACTGATGAATGGTTACTTTGCAGAGCATAAAATGCCGCACTGACTAATAGTACAAAGTTTCCTTCCTCCTTCATATATAATTAATTTGCTGTAAAACACACGTGAGCGCAAAACCGGTTGGAAAATAACATTTTCTATATTTAATGTACTTTCGACGTTGCGAGTTAATGCAACTGAGTGATGTCGCGCCGAGACGCCTCGCAGTGCCGCATTCTCATTAAGTTCCCGGTATACACGCGATGTCGTTATCTCCGCGTATCTTGAATACGGTAAGTGTAAAAAGAACGTATTTTCTAGTTCCTTACAGTAATTTATTCCGAATCTGGGTGGCCGCAAAGGCGATGTGGCAATCGCGTAAGCCTGGGATTTTGTGAGAAATTTAAAGGCGGGTTAAATTTACATTCGACTTTAACGTGAGTCTTGCGTGACAGGTTGAGTGCTTCAATGTTGGCTTTAATATAAAAATATTGCTTTAATATAAATTGTCCAATAAAAATATTGATTTTAAATTGTCCATGAAAGTTTTTTGACGCTTGAGAGAACAAGTACTGTTTTACGCTGTAAAATATATTACATGGAATGTGTATATAGAAAACTATTACGTGAGCTTCACTACTTCTCATTGACCGCGATACACTTTGAAAATTAAAACGTTGATATATTCATGGCTGACCTTATTCGTGAATTGAGTTTTCTACTGTCTAATTTTTTTTAGAAATTATTTTTAAAAAGAATTCTCAAAATTTGAATATTTGCATGAATGTACTAGATTACTAAAAAAAATTTACGATTCAATTAATCACTTGTCAAATTATCATGAAATGTAAAAATTAATATCTTAACAATTTCTGAAGTTAAAAATATTTAAATATTTAAGCATTCAGTATTTGGTTTGTTATAGCATTTAATTTTATACTCAATTGTAATGAAAATGTTTGTGTGTGATCCGAGGTGTGATCGATAGTAGCTATCCATTATCAAATGACTCTTTAACCTTTGTTAAAAGTCTTTAACCTTTTGCGATCCTATTCGGGTAAATTAAACATTCGGCAATCCATAATGGTTTTTTAAATAATTTTCTGATCCAAATATCAATAACTAGGTCACGCTGCAATAAAATTAAAACGTAAATAAAAAAAACACAATTTGCTTATTTGTGGAAATTAATTCGGATTTCACAAACAAAATTGATTTCATAAATCGTCGTGTTTGTTTTGAACCTTAAATTCAATATATTTTAACGAAACATGTAAATCATATAGATTTCATATATCTCTACTTTTTCTGAAAAAGAGGTGAAAATCTCTTATAGCTTTCTTTCGCGCGTACCACTGATATTTCTGTTTAACTCCGCTATAAGTGAATATTAATCACGCACTCACCGATAGAACTAAGGGAAGATTCCTCGAGTACCGCGAGGGTACTGTTATGGATGGTGAGGTGGCGTATGTCGAGCCCGAGGAACACGTATCCCTGCAACTTGGGCAGGTTGTTATGCCTGAGCCTAAGATAGAATATCACGAGGTTCGGCCTTCCCTTAAGCACGGCCATGGCCTTGGAGATGTGTTGCAGGTCGGTGATCTCGCACACAATGTCCAGGCCGGATTTCTTCAAGCTGCAGTAACAGGGCGCGATCTCGGCATGGGACGGACAGACGCCCTGCGACGTTTGCGCTAAGCTCGTCGCCAGAACGAGGCAGAGCAACCACACCAGCCGCCACACATCCGACAGAGCTTGCTCCCTCATTTTTCGTGCGACTCCACGCTTTCTCCCCCACGACTTTGTCACAATGGCCGACCCTCCCGTACCTTACTTTCGCCCTCCGTGTCTATCCCCCTGGCGTTCACTCTCGTTTTCTGTCGGCCGCACGCCTCTTTCCAATCTTCCCCTCGCGCCGTCTCCGTTTCTGTACCTGCAGCCTGCTACTTAGCCTCTGCTCTTTTCATATCCATTGTTCGCTCTGCCACGGTGTACCAGTACACCGAGTCTGCAAGTAAAACAAAAGCTTGGTAAATCGAAGAGGGATAAGGAACATGTAGTAGTAGTCGGAAACAGGAAACTTGATATAAATACATTAGTCTCTCAAACAACTTTCTTTGATAATGAAGCATAATGGAAAATGTAGCTTGCGCAAACAAGGTTGATTTTAATTTTTAATTGTGACATAAATGGAATATTTCCAGCCTATCTATTATGAATATCATAAATGTCGTTACTCTGTTACGGAAATAATAATGTAAAATGTATGTCGATTCAACAATTTCTTTGTTTATTTAAACGTAATCTGTCTTTTTACAAATCGTTTAAAATACTAGTTAGTGCATGCAGTTACGAAAAATGCCATGACACAATAACATTGCTAAAATAGTGCAATGTTTAGCATCCTTCAGTTTAATATTTATCCAATATCTGTGTAGTTTATATGTAAATGGAAGATGGAAATTCACTGGAATTATTGCTAGCGGAGAATAGCACATACATTCTGGCACGAAGCAATAATGGCGTTACGAGCGGTATTGTAACGCCACTGGTGTACTGCAAACTTATAATACGAAAATATTCATGTATATGCGTAATAAACGTCGACTTATTGGCAGTTACGATAACTGCGCGAAACTTTTATGCAGAGTCGTTAATAACTGTAGTAACTGTAGTAACATTACATTTTAGAGTATTTATTAGGCGCTATATACAACATTGCAATGCAATTAACATAATAATATTTCTAAAAATCTAGCATGTCGAAAACCAGCACAAATCACTCTTGCACCTTATTTATATACGTTTGTTAATTTATATAAGCAGAAATAAGACATTAAAAAGAATTGATCTTCTCTTTTTGGATAGACTTAAAATTTACTTTTTCTACATTAAAAATTTACACAATCCAACAAAGGGATAATTTTATATATTGGAAATAAATAAATTTAATTTATTTTCAAATTTTTTAAAATTTTGATAGGTTATAAACATTAATAGTACTTTATAAAAAAAAGCTATCTTTATTGCTTATCCCCGCGGGGTTTACAAGGCGTTTTTATAAGGAACGTTACCCAAACCTTTACACTACTACCTTTTTTCCTCTCACTTTAACTTTTTGGACCAACGGCTTAACGTCTCTTTCTGAAAGACGGAACCCAGTTTGCTCCGCACAAGAGCCTATCTTGCACGGAGGGGCGCAGCTTCGAAAAAACATTCCATGTTTACATGGCTCTAGTGGACTCGAACCTGGTTCCTCAGATTACGAGTCTGGCGCTCTACCACTAGACCACACTGCCGCCCTAATAGTACTTTATATTTAAATGTGTTAAAATTTTAGTTTTTAACGAGTTTTAATTAAATGCTTTTATTCCAAGAAAGGAATTTTATTTTATTTAAAAAGTTAATGATTAAACGTTTATTATGAAAAAGCCGACTTCGGATTTGATCTTGATGTTATCGAATTTTAATATCAGTGCGTTTGTTTATCTTGTAATAAATTGTAACGCGCCCAATTGCGTCATGAGCAACTTACACTTACCGAGCCATGCGGCGGATACCGTATCTTCTTCTAGCTCGTAATATACTCAACGGAAGACGCAAAATGGAATAACGATGCGTACTCGCGTGATCACTAGGCATCGCTTTTGATATCACTATGTGAGTTATTTCAAGCGATTAGCTAATCGATCACAGGCACGCAACACTGACGTCTTCTCGTACACTTTTGCATTCTTGTTATGGAACAAATATATTCAAGCGATTAACAATATTTACAGATGTCCACGAGGAAACTTCTCGGCCCGTGAAGCAAACGCGCTTCAGCACATTGCAAGTCGGATGTGGGTCAATTCTCACTTCGTGCACGAATATCGAAATCACTCTCCCGACGATGATATCTGGGGAAGTTTCAGGCCACAATCGCAAAGTAACGTTGATATTGTGTAAAACGAATGTGTCACTATTATGGTCGTAGCTCACGATTCCAGTGGTGTGCGTAAATGATTTATTTTCCCGATAAACACCTTTCACCGTAGTCTACGCTCTCTACCTACGCGGCCGCAAACCCGATCAACAAAATCGCCACAAAGCAGACAAAGCTTCCGCCACCACCCACGAAGTAATCACTCACTGCTTCCCCATTTGGTAGTAATATTCACACTGCTGTCCATTCGGCGCAATTGCGCCGCGAGAATCGCCTCGGTATGTTGCGTCACGATGTTATCGTCGTTCGCAGACAGTTATTGACAGGATGTATCAGTGACTCGTTAGCACGGAATCAGTCTCTCGTTAATTTTCCCCGGAAGAAACACATCTGCGGTGCGACGCACACATCGATACACAATTCACTTGAATCCGTCAGTGGAAATGTAAGGCACGATCAACGTGATCCAGGTAGATTTGGTAGTGATTCGGTAATAATCCACAGTAAAGCCACATCAGAATCGATGATACTGATAGCGAAGCTATCGCTAAGACGGTCTCCTGGCCAAGATGCGAAAGCGTTACAATTTGTAGAGCCGAGAGCTCTCTGCTGCGTGGCTGGTGACCGGGTGTCCGTTGGCATTATCATTGCCCGACTAATGGACCCCTTCCGGTACACGGATCATGGGATCGCGACCGCGAGAATACGCTGGCCAACATTATTGTTGCGCGCTTACGATCGCACATAAAGTGTTTTATGTAAAGTGTTTGTAACTGCGAGGGAAAAATAAAAAATAATGAAAAGCTTAATATCTCGATTTATGAGTTTTCCATGTAAAAACATCACGTTCATATATCTCGGCATATTCTTTTTCCGTCTTTGTTATATGAGAAGATTCATAAAGCACTTTTACATTTTTTAGTAGAAATCTTTTTAAAGTAGCAATATCAAAAATTTAAATATTAAGTTATGTACAGTATATTTTTATTAATATACTTTCAATGTTTTTTAACAGCTACGTCATTTGAAAGATTGTATTTGAAATGTGATACTCTGTTTACTGATTCTTTTAATAACTCCAGGATATAGGTATGACGCTGTATATATGTATAGACATTAACAGAAGGATAATGCAAACGAATTGATTCCTTTTTACTTTGAAATGTAAATTTCTCTTTTCACATTTCCTATATGCGAATTTGCACGAGTAATTTCTATATATCAGCGTTGTTAATTCTATAAACGAAACGAATGGATGGATGCAAATATAAATTCATACTCAGGAAATATAAAGTTTTAACACAAATGTCATCAGCAAAATGAATGAGTTCATATTCTGGGCTCTGAAAGCATATATATGGAATAGATATCTACTATATATGTTTGGAAGTAGAAATGTTATATATTCCGAATTCAAACTATTCTATTATTATTGTGTTCAAATTAATATTTTGTAATAACTTTGTATTACTGTTTCCAAGTTATGCATGTTCAAAAACACATCTTCTTATCATCAAATTTATACAGCTGGAAATGACATTAATCTTTCTATATATCTGTCAAAATAATCTCATACAATCTTCCAAATTAATAAAAATGGCAGATATCACTTCCGGATATCAGATCGGATAATTAGTTTTATTTATTATCTAAAAAGACAATTTGTTTTGGATTAATATTCTATTAATCATGTCTTAATCACAGATTATTAAGCCAATCATTGCAGGGAGATAAAAAATAAAGGCAGACGGATATACGTTATTCCGAATAGGCCTTCATACACTCTTTTTGAAATTAGGGTGATAGATATAACATGATTGCTAATTGAGTTCGGTGATTCACAGAGAGGGAGGTATGAATGACAATTTAATGAGAATGACATTTTCGCGCGATATCCCTTAAATTCTATTCTTATTTAGCACAATGAGCGTAAAATTCAAAAAGTTATCGACGTGTCACAGTCGAGAATAAAATGTAGAAATATAATTTATGCGATAAAACGATACCGTCATCGAGATGAGAGAACATAAATATTAAAAAGAAGTGGTAGCAAAAGTTATAATAAATCTCTTTCTGCAAATTATGTCGCGCTGTACGTTACAAAATGTAATACGCTTTTAGCGTCGTGTTTCTCAAATTGTGATTTACGATAAAGCTCCGAGAATAATGTGGGACCGAGAACAGTAATTAGCACATCGAATATTTGGACAAGAGGCGAGGTGCGAGTCCTTTCGGTTAACCAGTTGACGTCGACCAAATCGATTCGTCTTCGCTTGCCCGACAATAGCTTACCTCGTTTTGTTTGTGTAGCGGTTGACATAGAATAAATTGTACAATTTAATGAGATATATATATATATATATATACTCTGCAGTTAAATTGAATGACGTCGACACTTCGATCTGCCCTTCGTTTGCAGCACCCGCTTTTTTTCATTTTTCATGCCAACGCGCTTCGCGATTGATTTTCATCTCGAGCAGAAGAAAGAAAGAAAGAGAGACCGCGAAATCTAATTTAATAATCATAATCTCAAATATTACCGTTTTTTTTTTATAACGCGATATCAAAGAAAGATGTCACGATGCTTTTAACTTGCTATATTAATGTAGAAAAAAGATGCTTGTTCACAATTCATATTGTGTGATCTACAGGTCACACAAACGATTTTATCACATTACGAGTAAATTATCTAATTGTATTCCATGACTGGTGCCTATTTTATTTTTCTTAACAGACTCGAGCAGATGCTTTCAGCTTAATTGTGACAATCAGGTTTGTAAGAAATTTTGTGATATTTTGTCAGATTAGATTTTCATTAATTTAGCGTATGATAGTTCAATTATCCATTGCTCAAATATCTGATAATACAGATCAGAGTGAATTAAGATAAGCTACTATTTTACTCTTTACTTACCATTTTCGTCAATTAACTCGTAATGATTATAGAATGTTTCTCTTCGCCTCAATTACTCCAGTTTTATGTGTTTTCGCGATCGCATGACATGGCCCATAGCTCGATCATGTTTCCGATTTTCCATTACATTGTCATGCTATGATCCTCGTTATCTCACTACGATCAAAACGAGACGTTTTGCAGTTGAATTATAACGATCCGATTCATATCAAATTCTTGGGATGCGGCCTAAATCCTTAGCATGCTTCAGCGTTAAATATATGATGAGCTTGTTACGCTTTATTAGCATACATTGCGCGTGATTAACATGCATCGTTGGGTGCATCGACGCATACGAGGATCGACGTGTGCGTTTGCGTAGAAGCAAATCGATGGCAAATGTCGCATACGATTAATATGCATTACGACCAACGAAATCAAATGATAGAGTTGCTGGAATATTTTTATTGTTTTATATGCTCGCACAGCGATACAATATTGGCTAAAACCTGCCTGCGAATGATCGTAGCTTTGTGGATTCTATGATGAATCCGGGATCCGTATTACATTTTGATTTATTCTCTTATAAATTGTAAATTGTAATTATAGAGAAGCATTTAACTCTTCTGAAAGAGTAGCATATTTTAATCTTGCATGCCCTCGTTTCTCATCGCGACATTTGAATTTAATTTGGACGTTAGGAATTATTAAAACGATTGACTATACGTGTGAAAACGCTAATTATAAATTTAAGATCTCCACAACGTATATTTATGTGAACAAATGATATAATAGGTACAATAGTCGGACAGAATATAGATATACATATACATATACATATACATATACATATACATATACATATA